ATCTTATTCCTCTAACCTATCAAAAGCTTTTTGAAACTTCAAAGCAGCTTTTAACATTAAAAAAGTTGAATTCCACCTAGTCTCATCATCTAAACAAACAAGGCTTTTAGTTGTTATTTTTTCTTGCTTTACATAAATCTTGAGTCTTTGTAACCTTGTAGGGGTGACCTTACTACCTCATAATAGAATGGATTTGAAAGATTGAATCATCCAAATCTTTCAAACCTTTTTTCACAGTAAAACTAAAAATGTGTGCATAATACCTCTTATGCAAATATTCACTCGTTAAAATACTACCCTGCAACTGTTAGGTTTTTTTTTTTTTTACATATTGGATACTAAGATCATTACCACTTATATTATCTACTGTGATAATAAAAACTTTATCTATTCCCCATTCAAGCAATGCTTCTCAATGCATTTTCTAATAACATCACTAGAATGATTAGAAATTGGAGTAAAACTCAAATTTTGTTTATACAATTTTCACTCTCGATCAATAAATGAACTATAAAGCACATATAACTAAGATTTTGCCTAAAAGTCCAAATATTAGTAGTAAGACAAACTCTTAGTTTTATTTTTTTAAAATGATATGAAAAGCTTCTCTTTTTCATTTAAAAAAAAAAAAGGTCATAGTAAACCTTAGTCGTAGTGAACCTTGAAGGAACTTGAAATCAAGGTTGCATAACACTACAAAACTCATGAAACCCCTCATGCTCGACAGTCCTAAAAGGTAACTTAGCCAAAATGATCATCTTAGCATAATATTTTCTACAAGTTTTTTGATAAAATTTTTATGTAACAAGTGATAAACCACTACTATTTACTGCATCATCCCCTGATAGAGCTTTAAACATTAAGGTCATTTAATTCTCATCAAGTTTGTTCAGAGGATTTTTTGGGCTTCTATTCGTATGGTTACGCAAGATAGTAGTTTTATTTATACTAGGACACTTCGTGATTTTACCACAATAATTGCAAGAGGCTTTTTGCTTAGCTTTATTATTATAAGATAACTTGGTAAAATGATCCCATACCTTAGATGTTAAGCATCCCAATTCACCACTTAGTCTTTTAGCATCTGATGAGACATGAGTAATGGCATTTCCTAGATCATTTGCTATTGTTACTGCTCTAAAAATGTGAGTTTCAACCATTTGTGGCAGATTCTTAGTGATAGGTTACAAGTATTTTAACTCTCGAGCATAGCATTACTATTAGGTGGATTACTTGATGCTGTTGAATCCATCTAGCTATTTAAATAAAGGTCAAATATAACATGTTAAATAACAAATTATGCTTATTTTAAAAACAAATAAATGATAATAGTGTAAGGTTTTAATATTTATAAAAAATCTAAAAACTTAAACCACATCTCTGACCACTTGATCTTAAACCCAAGTGGTAGCTACACCTAAGTTTATTAATACTAAAAATTAGATTTACCTTGAATATCTGTGGTGTTCCTTTGAAAAAGTAAGGCTAGAGTGTAAGAGGAATGATAGAGATGCTTTGTTAAAACATTGGTGAGGGAGTTGAAAAAGGACGGTGAAATAAAAGGGTATGAGCTATTGAGCTTCGATGCAACGTATGATTGAGATAGTGAATGAAACTTGAAATGTGTAGTTGAAAGAGTGAGAACTATGTAGTTGATTTAAAAATTAGGTTGAAACTTGAATTGTGTCACTAAAGAGAGAGTGTGTGAATATTTGAATGATATCACAAATGAATTAAGTATATGGGCAAGTAGGAATTGGACTGGGTAAGTAAATTGGCTTAAAAAAGAATAAAAAATTTACGTTTGTTTTTTTAAATTTAAATTTTGGATTTTTTAAATTCGAGTTTATTTGGGTTTTTAGAATTCAATCGGAATAAATGAATCTGATCTAAATTTAAATGATTTTGATGATATTATTTATCCGAATACGAATTGAATTTTAAAAATCCGAACCGAACCAATCTAAATCGCTCAATTTGAACTAATTTTTCAATTTTTTTGATTTTTTTTCTCAGCTCTAGCGCGAATGTTCAATTGGATTAGGGTTTTTTTTACCTAATAAGTGATATCAGAGCTGCGTAATCCTAATAAGTGATATCAGAGCGTAGGTTCAAGACATAAGAATAAGCAAGCCTAAAGGAGCTTAATTCAAATGAAAAGTTTGAATTTATGTTTTGTGGATTGATTTACGTGAAGTAAAATATACAAGAAAATTTGTTATGAGACTTTCATTGCAAGTGAAGTTAAGCATGTTTAGAATGAAAATTGATGATATTTAAGTCAATGTGGAGATTGTTGGGACTGATTTAAATTCTATAAGAGATTTATTTGAGATTAGCTAAATATTGATTGATGGATAAGATAATTTGTAAAGGAAGAATTTTAAAAGGAAAGAGATTTTTGATAGACAAGTTAGTATACTTATAAATAGGTGAAGTCTCTACAAGATTAGGTATGAAAAAAATATATAAAAGAGCTATAAAGTTTTATTGGGTATACATCCCATAGGACTATAGGAAATTAACATCTTTATGGAAGTGTATATTTGAGTAGACTAGAGGAGAATGAGAGGGTCTACATAGATATGATGCATGAGTGCACATGGATATGTATTTATTTGGATTGAGAATACTCCATAAGACTAAAGGACAATGAGAGAGTTTATGGGTATTGATTGTTGAATGATTGATTAAGATTGTTTGTTTGTAATTCTCTACAACTAGTGAATTTTTTTCTCATCTGTGGATATAGATCAATTGAGTTGAGTCACATTAAATTATTATCTTTTGTGATTGATTAATTATTTAATTTTGTTTCCACTAATTTGATTGGATTAGAACTTTTTTGCTTAACACTTTTGACAATGATAAGAGGTGCAATGGAGAATTTTTCACTGCACTACACTTCTTTTTCTTGTGAGAGGCATTCTATTATATATGAATCTCCCTCGATGTGCCAAATGCTTACACCAAGTAAATGCAAAAAATTCATTTGTTTATAATTGAGATAAAAAATTGTTATATATACATTTTTAAAAAGTTACAATAAAAAATAGTTTATCTTTGAAATTGACAATATTTATATATATCTCATATTATGTACTTCATTATCTTATAATTTTTAAGTAAATCTTATTTTTAAAATATATTTTCAAGCTTTAATAAAAACAACATATTGCCTAGTGAGTAGCATCCAATCGAGGGATAAAAGGAAGACATTCAATCTTAAAGTTGGCAATGGGTCAACCCAACCCGAAATTTTTTTTATTTTTTCATATCCAAATCCAATCCGACTCAATACTATATAAATCGTATCCGATCCAATCTGAAATTAATAAAATATTATTTTTAAAATATAAAATATTATTTTTAAAATATAAATATTTAAATATATAATTATATAAATATATATAATTAAATAAATAATTAAAAATTAATTTTTTATATAATATATGGTCGGGTTGGGTTGGGTTTGCCTAAAACCCGAACCCAACCCGACCCTAATTTTTTCTTAACCTTACCCAATCCGACCCAACCCGAAATTTAATTTTCAAAAAGAAAAAATCGATCCTATGAGGTCGGGTTGGGTCGGAACCTGTCAAGGACGAATTGGGTTGTCGACCCTATTCAATCTCGAAACCCTTACTAAAATTTTTTTAAAGCAATTAGATGTTACAGATTCATGACTCCCTTTTAATATTTTTTTGTCCATTATTTTTTAATATAATTTTAATCATCATTTACAACTATAACTTTTACAATTTATGAGTAGATTCTACACGTGAATGGTAACGAAGAATGTATTAAAAATAATAGTTAGATCCAAATCAAGCATTACAACATTTTTTAATTTTCATATTCACTCCACCTTTTTCAAGTGCCGAAATGTTGGATACAGCCCACTGGTAAATTTATCAAGGCCGAAATTTCCATTTGGCTCTTTGGAGTAATAATCTTAAACACCCCTCTTGACCTAGGCCACTGATTAAAGACTATATCTTGCAAGCCTAATAATAAAGCCACAAGCAGGCCCATAACCATGGATTAATTCCACTAAATCAGTAAGCATCAACCAAATAGAATCCCGAATAAAGGTGATGGTGACTTGTGGACTACAATTGATTCCACTTGAGCTATTATAAAATATTTTGGAATGAAGTTGACATCACATAAATTTCAAGTGAATTACAAATAGATATGGTTGCAAGCAAATTTCAAACTCTTCCCTTCACTGCTCTTAAGAGTTGGGAGTTGAACAAGCAATAAGAACGAGTTTCAGCTATAGCTTTCATCAAACAACTTTCAAATTACCAAGTGAGGGAGTATCCAATTTGACATGACCTAATTATGTAATCCAATTTTTTCTTTCCTCAAGCAACTTCTATGAAACTATTTCTTCACAGTAAAAACAAGCTTTTGAAGTCCTTAACCTCTATATTCGCCTTCTTACTTTGTGCATAGTGAATCGAAACCCAATTTGAATAATTGCAAATGTTCAATCCGAACATTAACTTAAAATTTAGCTCAATTGAATTATATAATTATTTTAAAAAATGACGAATTATACAATTATTTTAAGAGATTAAATTAAATATATCTAAAATTTAAATCCTAACCCGTACAACTATTTCCCCATTATTAAATTGCTATTCCCCTTCTCCCTTGCCTAAACTACTAACTATTTTGTATAAAAAAAATTCTCAACCAATCTTGCAATCATAATTCATCTCAACGATAATTGCTAAATAATAAGCATTAAGGTCATATAACATGGATTATAAGGAAAAAAATTCCAACTCAATACATGCACTTACCATTAAACCAAAGCGATAACGATGGAAATATAATCTTTTAGAAGAATTGAATTGATACAAATCTATCATTGAATTTCAGTTCCTTTTGTTCAGAACTTATAGCTCAATTTTTCATTACCCCCTTCTATATGCCATGCTTCAATTTCTCATGCAATCAAATAAAAACAAATGACTTAGCGATTTTTCTCAAAATTCCGAAGCGAAAATATATTAAAACACAAAAATAAATAAAATAAAAGAAACCCAAATCCACAACTTTAGATTCTACCATTAATATTCCTTAAAAAAAGTAAATAGCATGATCCACAATATATATATATATATAACATCCATACATAACAATTAAACCTTGTTCAAACAAAAACCATACAAAATTACGTAAATAAATATACTAAAATTTAATTATAGTAAAGTTCGAGGCCCATGCCGTCATGGATCTCGTAATCTTTGAGAGTAATATGATCCTTATAAACCGTATACCACTTCTGGATCCGGATCTTGTCGGCTCTGGTACCGGTTTGAGCCGCCACCAGCTTCTTCAGGTCTCCGATCGTGTCGTCGTCGTTGCACTTCACGCGCACCTTCTTCCCTAGCCGATCGTTCAACACTACCTCGATCATCTTCGATTTTTTCGGTTTTTTAAAATTTCAGAGAAATCCCTAATTCCCAACTTTGCTAACCTTAGTAATGAGGAGATTGAAGCGCGTGGTGGGCCTTTATAGGGGATTCTTTAAAGCCGACTATTACGCGTTGACTAACATTGACTTTTTGTTCCGAAACGGCACCGTTTTTTTCCAAAGAATTTATTTGGATATTCCATGGAATAACGCATATTTATAGATTTTTTTAAAGGAGTAAAATATAATTATAAAATAAATAATGATACTTTTGTTAAAAGAAAAAAAATTTATAATTATCATTTTTTTTCTTAGGAAAACAATCAATATGAAACTCTATTCAATTTTTTTTACTAACTTAACTCATTTTCTTTCTGATAAAAAATTTCACTTCCTTTTTTGAAAAAAAAAAAAAAAAACACTTGAAACTAGTTATTTCAATAAAAAAAAATCGATCAAAAAGTCAAATGCTTATGCAAAATTCAACTCATTTTAATTTATATTAATTTGTAAAAAGCAATTGCTCGACCGAAGTAAAAGAAGCGTCCATGGACCTGTCTTGAACTTGATTCACATTTTGAAAATCTTGTCCAAGGTTTGATTTAATGTACAATGTTTAAAAAATATATTAAAAGTTCAAATTATTTTTTGAAAATCTTGGAGCGTGCTGCAAATATATACAATAATTTCCTAGCAGAAGGTTAGTAAAAAAGGCTTCAGCATCGGTTAAACAGGTTGTGACTCTACGGCTGTTTAATTGTTTATACACCTGAACTTGTGAAGGCAATCCAAAAAGCCGCTGGGAATATAGGTAATAGCTTCCTGAATTTTTTGAATAAGGTAGAAATTATTTATGGAATAAGGTAGAAATTATTTATGGATCAATCTTTCAGCTGCTAAAAGTGCTTTGGTGCGCTTACTAATTGTCGATGCAGGAGATGGTGCAGGAGGATTTTTTGCCTTATAAATTTATTTTTTTACCTCTCAGATTGAAACATTCCATCTTTTAAATAAGATTTTACTGCTAAAGATAAGTCCAAGGTGAAAGGTGCCCTCATGCCTCAAGGTGCCAAACGCCAATCTCTGTTTTCTCTGAAGCATAGGTTCCAACAAGACACTTGTCTGAGTTAATCAAACTTCATTATCTTTCATTTTATTGATATTATTGCAACTGCAACTTGTCTCCCTGTTTGGTCCTAAGCTATCCATTGTTACAGACAGTGACTTCAAATGGACTTACTTCGTTCATTGAGAAAAAAACTTGGGATGACAAGGACTGAACTGACATGCATGTATTTGCTTTGTTTCTTCTAGAGCAAACTTATAACTTGCAACTTCTTGTAGGGGGAAAGCACCAGAGAGAGATTTAAAAGAGGCTATAAGAATGTCATTGATGAGGTGATTCATTTGGTAAGTTTCATTTTCATTTATCTTAGTTGTACTTAACAATAGAATGCCTGAAAATAATGTAGCATACCCTGCTGCGTCATTGCTTGGTATTGGAGATCCTTGTCACCTCTTTACACCATGGCTGATTATCTTGTTTAACTCTCAGTTCTTCGTTACCCATTGAAAAATTTTAATTTTTCAAACTCAAGAAAAAGAACTGCTGACAGAACTCTGTTGGAGAAGAATCACATCTGGCAATAGAAACCAGTGACCATGGAGCTCTCAGGAAGAATCACTGGCTTGATGATGGGGCATACTTGATGGTAAGCTTTTATTTTAAGTTGTGGGCAAGCCTCTTGTTGCATGTTAGATTGGCCTGTATATATGAACCAAAGCAATAACTTAAATGCACATGGACTTGTCCATCTCATGGGGTTTTATTTGACTTTCTGCTGAATGCAGGTAAACTCCTAAATAAACTTGCTTCGGACAGGGCTTCTGGCAGAGGTGATGAAAGCAAAGTTTTAACAGATCTGGTTGAGGGTCTGGAGAAACAAGTTATTTTCATGGAACTAAGACTAAAGATAAAATCAGAGTCATCCTGATCTTAAAAGGACGGTATGGTGCCTTTATATATCTCCAATCTTTATCTGTCTGCCTGATTTCTGTTAAAGTGGCTGAGAGTTAGAAACTTGCATATCTTTCCGGATTATTGGGAAGTAGTGCTGAAGCACCTGGATAACTATATTGCTTCAGATCCCAAGCTTCAGAAAGCACCTGTTAACTACAATGGGGTACGTTTGATATAGGCTTCGGAAATTGAATTATGTCGGCTTCTTTGTTGAAGTAATCATAAGATAGTTTACTTAAACTGAATAGCAAATGTAGCCACAACAATGGGACTGTTGTAGTTTCAACATCTTACGAAACAGGTTTCCCTATTTTCCTTCTGAAAGCAGGTTCGAGTTTCTGGCTATGGAGGGTGGTTTCTTCTTAGGCTTTCACTTCATGATCCTGTCCTTCCTCTTAACATTGAGGTATGAAAGTAGTATCAACACTGTAATTTCCTGGCTGAATAATAATAAACACATTGTAGGCACCAAGCCACGAAGATGCTGTGAAATTTGGACTTGAAGTTGCGGCTGCTTTGAAGGAATTTCAAGCTTTGGACACATCTGCTTTAGACAAAATTTTCCAACCCAAGTAAGCTGAGTGGCTACCTTGTTCAGCTTTTGAATTGTGTTCCGATGGCTGCCTCATCTTCTGCAACGAGCTGGCCTGCTAATGTAATAATGGTAGTTTTGAGGTTATAGTTTTTGCAAAGTGATTAGAAATCTCAGCCAAGGACTTCTGCAAATATACACAATTTTCCAGGTACCAAATAATAGAGATGAGTCTGAATATCTATTCAATCCTAACAGCAACATCCATTATCATGCCTCTGCACTCAATAAAACTTGAGGAGGCTTACCCGGATTCTCTGAAGTCAGGTTACAAAGCTGACTCGTCCTTTTTATTGCCAAACCTGATCTCAACCTAAATAATCTGACTGAATTAAAACTGAAATCAATAGGAGTCAATTCAGATTTATTCTGAAAAGCTGATGATCCAAATCTGACACAACCAGCAACAGGAACCATAACTGAACTAACTCATTCTATTCCTAACATTGTAACGTGTAGTAGTGAATTGTTGTACTAATCAGCTAGAAAGATATGCATGTCTCAAAAAGCTATGCCGCAGCTATTCAGTGAAGGAGAAAATTGGGACCTGCATCAGAAATTTATTTCTTAATAAGCAATATTCATTATGACTAAAATTCGAATCTCAACTTCCACAATCTTTTTTTTTGAATTCAAACTACGGCGTCTTTTGTACCTAAAGGATATTGGGGATCGATTTTGAAACTCTTTTTAATCATTTGTGGCACTAATTTGGAATCCCATAACCATGCGCGTGCTCATTAACGCAGTTCGTACTCCCCATTTGAACCTGAGCCGGTCTGTATCACGAGTACTAAATGAAATCAAACCAAAGGGGTCAGCCGAAATTGAGAAAATTTGTAGTCTCAACCTCAAAACTCAAAATGCATGAGTGAGCAGATGTTGCAAGAGCTTCGCAGAGTTTTCACCTATCATAGACAGCTGATTGTAACAGGAACATTACAGACACAACAAATACAGGAACCAGAGCGTATCTGAAGCTAATCCAACCAGTTTAAATTATATACAACTAATTCCAGACATGCTACATATTTGAATCATTGATGAGTTTTCTAGTTATCTTTTCAATATTTGTAAAGAATTTATGCCGTGGTAGGGGAGTTTAGAAGCTTCATCATGAAGTTGAACTTAACATCAGGTGAGGTCTTGGGCTTTGGCCAGTTTGCTCCCTCTGGCATCTTAATGCATCTGAAACCCTGGCCTTTATACAGTTTTGTAGCCGCAGGGTTGTTTAAGTCACAGTGCAAAGCAATGGCACGGCAGCCCCAGCTCCTCGCTTGCACTTCTGCCTTGGCTATGAGCCTTTTAGCTATTCCCTTCCGACGAAATCTCTCTCGAACAGCAACATTTGATATGTATGCAATTCCAGTCCTGCGATAAAGATGCCCAAGTATCATTTTCTGCTAATAAAGGGTTAACTTCAATCAAGAAAAAAACCTTACAAACACTTGTATATAATGCTTAATACTTCAAGCAGATTTAATATATGCCACAAGTGCTTCCAACTGGAACACTAGCATCTGTGAATATTAAACTGGAACAAGAGTCTACCAATTTGGGATGAGAGAACATTAAAATGAAAAAAAAAAAAAAAAGTGAAAACAACTAGCTTTTAACTCAAACCAATCTCTAATGGCCTGCTGATAACAGTCATTTTCAAGTTATCTAGCAGGACCTTCCACGGGATGAAGAAAAAAGTCACTCAAACAGCCTCAAGTTGACTGTGCGTTGAAAACAAATATCATCCTGTGCCACTATCTTTCTCGTCAGAGTATCATGCCTTCTCAGTTTTTCCTCACAACCTCACTGGCGTTCTTTCAGCATTCCTACAATCATTTGCCAAGCATATTTCTGTCCTAGCCAGAAAATTTGATTATCTTCTCTAAATAAAATTAAAGGAGAAAGGGTTTAACTGAGTTTCTCTTGTCTCTGTAGGTTTTAACAGGAATCAATAACTCATAGTAGCATATAACTGTTCTGCTACTAATTGACTTCAGCAATATCATTTCAATTATTGATCATCTGGCCTTGTGCCAGAAAAATTTTCTAATTTTTTTTTTAGGACACTGACACCAGGCATCCTTACCAATTATTGCTAATCCTTACCCTAAACACCAGGCATGTCACAGGCCCAAAAAAGAACACCAGGCATGCCAGAAATATTTCCAACTTGTTAAAACTGTTCATTTTCTAGGATATGCAAGAAACAGTCTGTATCTTACCAAATAAGAGATTATCCAGAATAGAAAGACAACACAACATATGTAGAAACTTTGCTACATATCCAGCATTGGGTAGTATCTAGGTTCACTTGAATTCTCATTGGTTATGAAATCTTGAATGAGTTGAGATACACAATGCAAGATGCAAGACTTGAAGTACTTTGCTCCAAGATAGCTAATTATGGACTGAAAAAGAAAAATTAGATAAAAAAGAAGGGATTAAAAAGGATAAAACCTCTTTTGTCTTTTCCTTTCCTGGTGTTTTGGTAAGGAGGGGAAGTCGCAGGGTTTGATTTATCAAACAGAGGGGATGACAATAGTCTACTATTGTTCCTAAAAGCCAACCATACAGCCTCAGAATAGTTATTTTCAACTAGTATACAGAGATCACAAGTAATCAACCGTAATCCGCTTAAAGCCTTAACCACTCTAGGCTGGCTAAACAAACTGTTCTTCACTTTCATTAAAGAATGGCTTTGTAAGGATTATTTATTTTTGGCCAATGACTTTGGACAGGCTGTTGACAACATTTTGCTGTGACATCTAGCTTTGACATTAATATTAAAGGATGGATCACCGTATGACTTGGAAGAAATAAAGACAACCAGCTACACTCTAGGCGGGATTCCAAGCTTGCTGTGTTTCTTATTACAAGCATAGAGAGGCAAGCTAAATTTAAGGAGATTGAGCAATCAAGCTAAAACCTTACTCAGCCACCATATCTTCAAATTTGAAAAACAAAACTGGTTAAAAGTAACATAACATACTGTAAGACATCATTAAAGCCAGTAGTATAAGGCAAGGAAGGCTTGGAGTACGAAAGTTATGAGCAAATACAAACTTCTTAACCAACAAATACTGATAACCACAACTGCATTTTGGAATTATTACAGGTTCCGAAGACATTGAGCACATAAGTTGTTTATTGACGACATTAAAGGGGTAACATAGAAAGTGCAAGTTAAAGAAACAAAGACAAAGCTGAGGTAAATTTGATGAACTGCGTTTATGCAACCAGAAAACTGAAATTTTAAGACATTTTCATCTTGCAGCATAAGTAGTTAATGGTTAATAAGACAAGTTTCTTATGGAGTAATTTTCAACTGGCATGTCACATCTTTAAATGACATTAAACTAGCATGAAAAAGCCAGGAATAATTCAATTCACCTTCTCTGTCGGCGTGGTCCTTTTCTAGGAAGAAAATCAGCAACAGTATCAACAGTTAGTATGCCAGTCACATAACCTTTATTAAGACTAAATCTCCCATCAAAACCTCCTATTTTGAAATCTTCGCTTCCAAATAACAATGCATCATCAACAGAACCACCAATGACAGCAACCAAACAAGTTCTCCTGCAACCAGTTGGAATAGAGAATCCAGACAGCATTGCCACCAGCCTGTCAACTCGCAGTACAAAATCCAAAGGGAAGGAATATTCGGGGAAGAATGAGCTACAGTGAGTCTCAGCCACTTCCCAACAGTCCTCTATCCGGGCCTCCCGAACTACTATCTCAGGAGACACGGCTGGAAAGAGATCAACAATTTGAGTAGCTCTGCATGCTCCTACACCCAAATACCAACATGTCCAAACAAACCATCAACATCCACATGTCCTACAAATACGGCCTATAATCATAGCAATTTAACCTTCAGGATTCTTTTATACGCAAAATGGACAATCCAGCCTTCAATAAACCCAATGAAAGTAGCATCTCCAGTACAAAATACCCATAGAAAAGTGATTCCAAAAATCAGGAAAGGAACCCACGTTCTATCACTTCCAACAAGTGTCAGAAAAAGAAACTTGCTTTCTCACCTTGAAGTCAATCTTCCATTGACAAAAAAAAAAAAAATCGTAAATTCAGCCGTAGGCAAATTAAACCAACCCAGATTCACATAAAAACAAACAGGAATTATCAAAAGTCTCAGGAACCAAACAGAACACAGATACTTAAGTAATTGGCAAAGTCAATGCAAACAACAAAATACCGAAATCCAACAAATTCATGCACACCTAAATTCACATGTTAATAAATACCAAAACCCAATTTTTCTCTTTAAAGAAAATTTATGACATAGGTCAAATCCAGTAACATATGTTCATCAAAGTAATACTAATAATATCCATCTAAGAAAAGATTTTAACTTTTGTTACCTATTTTGGAAAGAGATAAGTCATGACAAACCCTGGAAGAAGATGGAAAAAAGGGTTGATGTTGTTTTTTTGAAAGAAAGAGAGGGAAAAGAGAAGGTTTTGAGGAAGTTGGTGAAGGAGAAACTGTAAGTGAAGTACCCAAAGGTAAGCTCCGCATTTCTAGAAGACTTGGTGTCTCTTTGTCTGCCTCCTCAACTTCTCTCTCTCTCGTTGATAGTTGGTCTTGGAGAGAGGGAGAGAATGAAGAACAGAATTGTTATGTAACAGACAAAAAGCAACCAAGTAAGCAAAGGCTGAATCCTCGGACACAAATTTTGCTGTTAACTGACAAAAGTAACCAAGTTGAAAATGAGACAGCGTCACCATGCACACGTACTGCACGTGTGAACTCTTTTTATTTTAAATTTAATTTATTTTTTTATTTTGAGAATTTATTTTACTATAATTATTTAACAATTATATTATTGGCAAAAAAAATTTATGTTAATCTATTAAGTTTCTTAGCTAGTTTTCTTAAATTTTTCATTAAATTATTGTTTTTTAGGTGGATTGCCATGCTCGCAGGTAAAGGTTGTGTTTTGGATAAGATTAGAAGTAAGACTCAACTTATGAAAATATTTTTATTTAATTTTAATTTTAGAATATTTTTGAAATATTAAAATATTAAAATAATATTTTAAATATTTTAATAATAAATTGAAATCATTATTGGACAGGCAGGCTTGAGGATTGAATAATTGTTCAAAAGTGCCGATCAATCTTCTCAAACTCAACTTGGCTCATTAATATTTTCAATTTGAAAATTTTTTCAAAAATAATATATATATATATATATATATAAACACTCGTATATGAGTTTTTGCACATAAATATGAATGTATGTACATTTTTCTTTGATTGATTATTTGAATTTAATATTTGTGTTTATTTTTCTTTTTTTTTTTCCTTGACCTTTCATTTAACTTATAAATTAGTATGATCATGTCTGAATCTCAAAAACTATTTTATTTTTACTTTTTAAGATCTGTATGTGATTTCATATTGTTAATTTAAAATAATAATAAAAGAAAGCAAGATTAAAAGGGTAATATATTCCCATTAAGGTATATATTTAAAAAAACCTTAATTAAAAATAAAAGTGATACATGTGTCAATCTTTTAATATAATTTGTTGAATTAAAAATTTATACTGATAATATATCATATACTAACACAAATAATAATTTATTTTTTATAAAAAATTACCAAATACATTGTCAATATAATTTTTAACTACATAAATGGAGTTAATAGGATAACATATAACTCTTAAAGTTTATTTTAAAAAATTAAAAAAAAAAAAGTAAAACATATGTCATATGTTAATGTGATATTATAAATAATTTTTTTCTTTTATAATATCTTAAATTTAATTAATGGATGTATTTATCTAGCAAAATAATATTTCCAACTAGCTCCTTTTGTTCAAGCTCCAAAAAAAAATAACATTTGTAGTGGGCCAAGTTTGAATGTAGTTTGGATTGCCATTTACAACTCTGTAAGGCTCATAAATTAAAATACATTTAATTAACTTTGGGCTATTTTAATTAAGTCAAAGAAAAAGCTAACATGGCTTTTGAAAGCTTTTTTTGCAGTTCCACAAATTTTTTTGGTTAAAATATTAATGAGCCCCTGAACTTTCTATTTTTTTGAATAATCTCTTATATTTTTATTATATTTAGATAATTCTTTAATTTTAATTTATTCTTAAATAAGTTCTTAATATTTTTTTATCCACAAAATAAGGCATGAGGTGATAGGGTTTAAACTTTCACTTTATATATCTTTTTAAGCTTTCTTAGACGCTAAATTAAAAAATTATAAATAATAAGCTCTTAATATTTGATTTGTATTCAAATAATCAAACAATTTCTTTGAACCAACCTTTCAGTGTCTTTTAATTCGGTTCAAAGTTTCATGTTTTGTTTTTTTTTTGAGAATTAACGATTTCTTTTAATTTATTTCATTGACAATACTATATGCTTTTCTAGTATCCACACAACTCGGCGAATAGCTTTTCTAAATTTAACAATACTTTTATAATTTTACCTTTATTTCAATTATTTTTGACAATTAGTGGCAGATAATATATAAGAGAAAATACATGATAAATCATTGTATTAAAAAAAGGTCGGAGGGAGATGGTAAATTTTTGACTGGTCGCATTCCATCTAATATTTATAATATATAATAAATATAATATAATGTTCATGTTAATACACTTATAATAATGCTGTGTTTCTCTCTTGATTGAGGCTTCCAGATTTGAGATTCAAAGGATTTCATCATCCACTTTACTTCTTTAATTTAATTTAGCTGGACTTGAGAGTTCTTAAGTGATCTAATTTTTGTATTTTTCCTTTAATTATTATAAAAATATCATAATTTAAAAATAAAAAAAAATCATAAGTATTAAAATTTGAACTTTAAAATTATATTAAATATCATTTTAAAAAAAATAAATGTATAAAATTAAGCTCCGACTTCTTTTTTTCTTTTATAATTTAGTTGGATATTGCTTGACCAAACCCAAACGACATGCATCAAATATTTACAAACATAGCATAATAGTTAGAAAATAGAAATGTTTTGGTAGGAATTATCCACTGAGTGAACATGTTCTATGCTGAACACATTTTGAAATGAGTGCATTTCATTTATAATTTTTTTTTATCATAAACTTATAACGTAGGGGAAAACCAAAGAATAAAATGGATTACAAATACGGAAGAAGGAAGTTTCAGCTATAATTGTCCGAAACTCTGTATCAAATAAAATGATTTCAAGTTTTAAGATACAACCAATGTTATTTTCACTATTGCGGCTATGGTATCACAGATCATTCAACCTTCCAGGCATCCATAATTGGTGGGTCCTGCAAAAACCAAATAAACTAGTTCGTAGTTTAAAGAAGGATGACAATGGCATGGTTAACTTGACCAAGCTCAACAATGTGTTACGGTTAACCTCAGCCTCTACTTTAGCAATTTCATTTCAACCATTATTATGACAAAAACAAATTCGGTAATGTTCCAAAATAGTAAATATTTACACTGAACATAGAAAGAACCATACTTTTGTTATCAAAATTGGCAAATTTTTGCTTCAAAGGTTTCAATTTAATGCCAAATTATGGAAGATTTGCTAAGAAATCACTTTACTTATCTAAAAATACAGAAGAAAATTCACAAACCTCTACTCCATATAACAGCCAGCACCAAGAAAACCGATGTGAACTCTCTTGCTGCTACTTCAATATTTACTCTCAGCAGATAAGAAGCATTTTGTTGATAAGGTCGTGGTTAGTATCTTATCCTGCACAAGTAATTGAAAATTTCTCATTTGTTTTTTAAATTAATGCAAAAAAACAAAGGACCATGAACCTTAGAAAAGATTTAATGCTTGATGATCAATAAAATATAAAATTGAAGATGTAATAAACATTATATTTGTAATAAAATTTTTGTAAGGGTTATAATCAATTTGAAATTGACATACCTGCGATTTTGAGTCATCAACTTTTTTTTATCAACTTTGCTGCTTCGAAGAATTATTGTGTAAACCATGATCATCTGATAAAGAATCAGCTAGAATCACGGATGTTCCTGTAATCAATTATCACACAAGGTATATGGGCTATATTGGACGATTCTGGTCCTCTATATATCCTTCTCACATCGTTCTTTTAGCACCGTACATCTCCAATTATCTAATCGCAAAAGCGAAAAAATCATCCTTCTTTTCGGAAGATACTTGGGCTTTGGGCAAGAAACGAATGACAAGCACTCCTATCTCCTCTTGAGGAAACAACACTGCATCTGGACACCCATTTTCTATTGAGAGAATTTCAAGAGAAGATCCCCGCTCAATTAGTGGCTTACAGATATTGGGTCCTCCTATAATAAGTTGTCGGATATTAGTAGGAAAGCCTTCTTTTGGGAAGGATGTCAGACTTGGGCAATTTGTTATTTGTAATTATTCTTGATAGCTGAGGTTGTGTATACCGTCGGACAGAGCTTGGAGCTTTTCACATAAATCGAGATAAGAGTACTTTGAGGTTTGAGGTGAGCAAACTACTTTCTGGAAAGGAAACCAAATTTGATCAATCAATGATGCGTATGTTCAGGAGATGGCTGAGCTTGTTCAATCCTTGAGGTAAATACTTGATATTATTACACCAATCGATAATAATACTTTCAAGAGGAGTTATCTTGAATTTCTTGTGCTATGGACTCCACCTTTGCGCAATACCATGTTGTCAGTTGTTTAAGCCTTGTAGGTAACTCCGCTCTTGATAAATATACCAGAGATGGACAATAATGAATATCCAACTGCTCTAGAAGACATGCATTGTTGATGTCAACATTCTCCCCCTCTTCCAACAAACACCGTAAAGTTTCACAACCATCGATTACTAGGATTTTGAGATTCGAAGGCAAAATGTTCTTTGAAAGAGAAGCCAGATTTAGGCAAGACCAAAGCTCTAGCACCGTAAGTGATGAAACGCAGTGCAAGGTTGTTGATAGCTTTTGTAACCTTTCACAATTCTCTATTCTCAGTTTTGGAATGGGGCAAGGGATCTTCGATTGCATCAATTCGTCTCTTTCCTCCTCTGCCCCTATGGAGACAAGTTTCGACCAGTTTCCAATACTCAATTCGCCAAGTGACATCGACTGAGTTCGCAATCCCCAATTGTTCTCTTGCAAAGAGTACAACTCCTCACAATCGTGAATCACAAGGGATTCCACATTTATTGATCCTAACGTCAACTATTCGGCTGCACAAGTAAACTTGGGAATTCTTGAAAAACAGACTCTTTTTAATGAGCTGTCGTCCTCAAAACCTCTATACACTACCTCGTGGCACCCTCGAATATCCAATTCTGAAAGCATTGGAAGGCCTTCAATTGAAATCACCAATTTCTTACAATAAGAAATCACAAGTTTCTCCAAAGAAGGAAGATTTTCCGATATACTACCCGACAGTTCCGGGCAATTCACAATACGAAGCTCACGAAGTTTAGGGAATTTCCTAGCTTCCTTATTAACTTCACAAAGGTTCCAGTTCTCCCATTTAAGCATGTCTTCAAATTCTAAACTCTCCAATGAAGAAAATGCAATTGGCGCATTTTTTCCAAAGAACTAAACTCCAAAACTAGTTACACTACACAATTTCTTGATGCTTAATTTTTCCAACAATGGCAATTGTGCAATTTGGACAATCATCAAGGCATAAAGATAGTAACTTATTGAATGAAGGATCTTCTATCAATTCCGCCAAACTAACACCACAATAGTACTTGAGGGCAAGTTTCTTACGATTTTTGGAAGGTTGAAGCAAATCCAACACATTTTTCTCTATTTCCTCTCTTCTATTCTCAAAGTATTTACTCCACTTCAATTCTAACTTATCCAGTCCTGACTTATCATGTAACTTAGCCTTCCATGCATCTTTAGTTTCAACAACATTCTTTAACCCTGAAATACAAAAACCTCTAGCTTCCTTATTTGACATCCCTTGCTCTTTGCAAAACAAAATCGGATAGTGTTTGAAGATCACTTGGTGTTTTTTGGGTCATTCAAGGGGGCAGAGCCCTACCTTCTAATCTATTGGCACCTGTGATATTAAGATAACATAGGTTGACTAGGATTTCCATCTCTAAAGGTAGCTTTTCAAGCACCTCACGCTCCCTTAATAAAAGGGTTTCTAAATTATAGAGGGTACCTATGGAGTCCGGCAAGCATTTAGTGAGAGTTCGAGAAAAATCTAGATACCATAAGTGTTTTAAATCTCCAATAACATCCGGCAACTTTGAGATTCGATATCCTTCCAAATAAAGCACCCTTAGACATCTCAAATTTAGCAATAAATGTGTTAGAACATTATTGGTTATATAGCAAACTCCATCATTTGAAAGCCTAAATGGTAAAAAAGTACCTAAATGTTACGCTTCATCAATGCCCTCAAACTTTTTGACGCCATCATACACACCACCAATGTAAGATAAGTGGCGAGCATGTTTTGAAATTTTCTGATCACCTTCTATTCTGCAGCATATTTCTCTGGTAACTGATTAAGCCAAATCATTGATGAGGTCATGCATAACAAATCGAGATTTATCTTTATTTGATATTTGCAAAAGAGACCTTGCTACTAGATCTGTAAAATACTTGTGGCCTAGATCTTCAATGCTATGTTTATCTCTAGCTTCCTGTAAAAGGCCTTCTGCCCTCCACAACAAGATTATTTCTCTCTCTTGGAATTCATAGTCCTTAGGAAGAATGGAGCAATATGCAAAGAACCACTTCAAATGTGGAGGAAGATGATGGTAACTTAATTGGAGAGCTGGAATTATACCACATCGATGGCCTGATGGCTTCCATATCTCACTCTTTAATATATCTTTCCAGGCATCAATGTTAACATTAGTACGAAGCAAGCCTCCATGGGTTTTAGCAGCCAAAGGCAAGCCATCACAGTTCCTCACTATTTTCTCAGCAACTTATGTTAGATTTGAATGTCTTCCAAAATCTTTTGCTCCCAATGCATGTTGAGCAAATACAGACAAACAATCATCTTCGGACAAAACTTGTAAATAATGCAAGAGATGCAAACATTGTTGATGAAATAGCAAAACTTCTTGTTGTCACGATAATTTTGCTTCCTGGAGCCTTTGTTAGAAAAGGAGATTGTAAAATGGTCCAGTCATGATATTTTTCATTCCAGACATCATCCAAAACAATCAAAAAATTTTCACTGACAATTTATTCTTTAATTTTTCTTGAAGAGAATTCAAATCATTGTCATTGCATGGCTCAGAAGTGACTGCTTGGAAAATTGCTTTTGTTATTCTTGTGACATCAAAATCATCTGAAACACAAACCCATGCTTTGAGATCAAAATGATCGTGAACAGTAACATCATTGTAAACAAGCTGGGCCAGGGTTGACTCGTACCGATCTCTCCCATGCCATCGAGACACAAAATCTCCTTCATCATCAATGTTGAGGACCAATTTTAGTATTGTCTTCTTGTCTTCGTCTCTGCCATACACTTGAGTTTCAATCTCCAGAGAAGTAGGCTGACGCCTTTCTTTTATTTTGCTGTACTTCGAGCAATCAATCATTCTCAGTTGCAACTGATTTTTCCGAGGCTCTAAATCTTTCAATTTGGCAGCGATATCTTTTATCTTCGACATCATGCCCCTGTTAAACAAAACTACGTTGGATTAATCAGAAATGAGTCTGAGTTTCTTACTTGAGCTACCACGACGTTCCAACATAAAATTGCGCATGGCAATTTCGGTTTCAAGCTCATCCATAATGTCATCCACGTCATATGCCAAGTTTTGGAGTTCTGGCAACCAAATTTTCACAGATTGATCTTTTATCTACCTTTCCTCAGCATCATCAAGTAGTGCATGAATTTCTAGCAATTCTTTCTTCAACTTCTCGAGCTCTTCTTGAATCTGTTTTTCACTGACAATTTGCAAGAATTCAGAAGAACCTAACTTGTCTACAAGATAGCCAAAGAACTTGGAGATAACTTCTCGTATAGCGGACAGGGCTCCAAGCAAAGGCATGGTTGGGTTGCGTTGTTGCAAGAAATTAGAGAGAGTAAGAGAAAATTGAGAAAAGAGTTTGAGTTAGCAGGAAGAAGTGAAGTTAGGTAAAGATGAATTGTATTGCATGGATGATTTTTGTTTCTCTTTCTTTCTTTTGCTCGTTGATTTCAGGAATCTTTTACAAGTCAATATAGAACCCGCATTGACTCGGCTTTGATTTTTTTAACGTACTAGTTCTACCACTGTTGGCTATTGATAAACGAAGAAATTTCAATTGAGTTCTTTCGGCAATTTCGTTGATCCTCCATAAGAAAATCGCACCCCCTTAACTCACCTTTTTTTGGTAATTTCTACATTTGAATGTTGAAATGGGGAAATACACATACATACAGTTACTTCCCAAGTTTTATCAACAGATTTGGTGTATATATATTTGCTAATTCTATTGTCATCCTATATGATTTTCTATTTGTGATTCATAAAATAATAGTGTGCAGGACAATTCAGTAAAAAAGCATGAAAAAATTAAATACATATCTAGAAAAAATATATGAGAATCATGAATTATATATTAATCCTTAGAAAATTTATTTGGCAAATTCGATTTTTTTTATATTTAAATATTTTAATCACAAAAAATTAAACATCTTAATATAAATTATGTAATAATGTCAAATTTAGTCTAAAAGTATATAGTATTATTGAATAATATATTATATCATAGTATATTATTGGAAACTCTTTTCGTTGCTAGTGCTAGCGTTCGTAAGGCTAAGGTTGGTCCTACATACAGAGGTGATAATTGCGACAAAGTAAAGTGGAAATGCCAGTAACAAAAGTTGACAAAGATGTTTTAGCAAAAGGAGATGCTGTTTGGAAAACAGATGAGTTGTTTTTTTAGGCAGCTTTCTTTTTAATTCTTCATCTGTCATTCAATCCATCATTTAATTTAAATTTCTTATCATTATCAATAAAATTTATTTCTTCAATATACTGCTATATATATGGAGCTGTCTAAATTAATTCGAATTTCAAAATTTTATTTAATTTTAATTAAAATTCAACAAACTCGATTTAATTAAAAAAGTTAATGGTTTGAACTCATTCAATTTGATCTAAAAATAATTTGAATCCATAAATAACATGAATTCAAAGTAATTTGAGTACTCCAAAGGACTCAAATTTGAATTGATTTTAATAAAAAATAATTGAAATTGAAATTTTATTTTTAAATATTAATTTGATAAAAATAATATAAATTAATAATTTACTAATATTTAATAAATTTAAATTATTTTTAGTTTAATTTTATAATTTTTTACAATTTGGTTTTTTCTTAATTATGAATAACAATAAAAAAACTAAAAATAAAGATTTGAAAGCATTTTATTTATAATTTTTTTTACTTCAATTCTGTAATTAGTCAATTATAATAAAAAATTATATAAAATTTATCACTTAAAAGTGTAAGTTCTACGTAATTTTTTTATGAATTTTACATAATATTGAATTATAATCAATTAATTATATTATAATAATTATAAGTGATTTTTTTTATATAAAATTATTATTATTGGAGTTTGTTTGTTAAAATTAAAGAATCTGTTTACAAAAAAATTTTAAAGAAATTTAAAATAAAAGATTACGTTAATTTAAAATTTTAGTATTAATAATTATTTTATTCAAATTTTACATTTTATCAAAAATTTTATAAAACTGAAGATAAAGAACAAATTTTTAATTCAAGGCTTATTTCTCTCTATTGGCATCGTTGAAAATTTTAAAATACTTCAAAAAATCAAATTTAAAAAATCAAATTTAAAAATCATGTTACGGAAACGAAATTCAAGAATCACTTTATAAAAGAGTTAAAATCTTGAAATGAATCTTAAAATCCGGGACAAAATATCCGATGAGGATTAAAAATATTATAATCAATGTTTTAATAATCCGACCGACAGTTGAACAAATCGATTGTCCGTTTTTTGGTTTCATAGATTTTTTTATGGATTCCACCGATTGGTTCAACTTAAAAAATTATTGTCGTTAACTTTTATCAAACACCTTACCAGCTACGGCACGCCAGACCTGACTAAATGTAATAAATAAATGGTACAAGGCAAGCTACTGGTCAAGCCCTTTACGTCAATTCCAAGTTTTGCTTTTGACTTCATCTTTTTTCACTTACTTACAAAGTGATTTTGTTACGAATTGATACTTAAAGCTATGAATTTACGCGATTTCGAGATTCAAATATTTATTTTTTTTAGTATTTTAAATTAATTTGATTATTATTATTTATATTTTTATGAGATATTATTTATTTTGATTATTTTAATTTTATGATTTTATCTTATAAAAAATATCTCATAAATCAAAAGTGATGTGAATCCCTATATACCCTCGTAACCCTTTTATTATGTTCGATGTGAGATTCAATACTCTTTTTTAGGTCCGTGACATTCTCTTGCACTCAACCGTGTGATGCCCTCGTCACGGAGGCTGACCACTATACATGCCTCCCTTGAAGTGCTTGGCGTGGATCGAATGGTTTAGGGCTGACTCTGATACCACTTGTCAAGGGTCGACACTTAAGCTCCGAACCCGCGCGATTCCGAGATCCGGACATTCATCTTTTCGACGTCTCAGATTAGCCTAACCGTCACGATTCACACTCTTGTGAGATATCATCCGTTCTGGGCCCCACTGACCTCACGATTTTATCCTACAAAAAACGCTTCACAAGACGAAAGTGGTGTGAACTCTTATATACCTAATAACCCTCATATTATGTTCGATGTGAGATTGAGGACTCTTCCTTAAGTCCGTGATAATTGCACGTATTTTTAGACTTAATTATAAAAAAGTTTTTAATAAAAATTAAATAATTATTTAAATTTTATTATTTATTACAATTAATAAATTAATAATTTTTTATTTTATTAAATTGGTAAACATTATTTTTAGTTAATTAAATTTTTAAATATTTATTTTTATCAAATTGATTTTTTAATTAAATAAAAATAAATGTTAATAATTAATAATTTTTATATAATAAAGATTCAATTAATGAAATAAATATTTAATAACTTAATTAATTATAATAAAATAATAAAAATTTAAATAGTTATTTAATTTTAATTGAAGAGTTTTTTCATATTTTACTTTAATATATTTTCATCTCATTATTCTAATATTATATCACACAGATACTATCATGTAAGCATCATTTGTTTGCAATGCAAATATGATTCTTATTCTTATTATGAAGCATCATTCATTTATCATGTCAGGTGTTATTTTTCTTTGACTATAAATTAATGTAGTTTTACTATTTATGTATTTAGACATTCATAAATTTATAATATTCATAAATATAGGTAATTATGAATAAATATATTTTGTTTTTTATATCATTTAAAATTTAAGTCTAGATTTTTATTTACTATTCACAATTTTTATTATTTATAAATTTATAACATTTATAAATATAATTGAATTTAATATGATTTAAATTTAACATATTTATTAAATGATATAAATATTTAAATCAAATCAACGTATTATATCCGTAATAACGTGTGGAATATGACCTAATTTATAATACATCAACCACTAGCCGAACTTTCTAACAAAAGAAAGCGTGTAATCCAAATCAACCACTAAGCCGAACTTTGCTCGTTTCTTTCTCTAGTGGTTTCCTCGCACTTGTCCCCGTCTTGTTTTATTCTATTCGCAAATGATCCTCTTTAATTTTTATGAGAAAGGTAAAATACAAATAAATTTCTCTCATTAAAATTTGGTACCCAATTATATTAGTCAGGTAATTGGATTTGGATACAAGGAAGAGTAAAACAAACTTACCTGCGGATCACCCAATACCCCAAATATAATATACTTATATATTTTTTTATTTCTCTTTTATTTTGATTAAAATAAAACTATTCTAAAAATATATAAATTATAAAATATTTTGCAAACCAATTTTTTTATGCTTTTAAAGAACAATTTAGTTAGACTATATTATATTTAAAGATCACTTTGATTATTTTTTTATTTTTCCCTTAATTTGCTACTCCCATTATTATTTAAAGACCACATTTATGCTTTTAAGGACATCCTTTTTTAATTTTTTTGGTTTTATTACTTAAAAACTGAAATTAATTTTTTAACAAATTTGTTGGATTGTATGTATATATATGATTTTTATGATTATTTTATTATTTTTTAAAAATATAATCATATATTCAAATCGAATTTTAGTTACTCATTAATAATTGGTACAATAATGAATATGTAAAAATATCACATGATGGATATGAACACAAATATAGGTATGATTATCATAATAGGATACAGGGATGGAGAGTGCCACGCCCACCACGATAGTGACCGCATTGCCATATATTCCTAATCAATGAAAAGCGATAAGATTGTCTTTAGCTTATTGATTTTGTGATCAAAAAAATTTTAAAGAAGACATCGATATTGGAACCTCAGCCTCCCTCTTTCTTTTTTGTCGTAGGATTGTGCCCTCTTAAAATCAAAAGAAAAAAGAGATAAGATCATATTTGATTTTTTAATTATAATAATATATCAAATTTAATATCTAAATTTTATTATTATTGCATCAAAATAAGCTTTCAACTCTTATTTTCGCTATCTAAACCTTTTTAATACGTGTACATATGTACATATGATATAAAATTAAAAAATTAAAATTACTTTTATGACCTCTAATGTACATATGTGTTTAGATAATTATACATATTATTTAATTAAATGTACATATATTTTATCTATATGAACATATGATAATTACTTGTAATATTGAGATAACAAAAATTGAACATTAATGTCAAAAAAGTAATTTTATTTTTTATTATTTTTAGATATTGTTACTTTGTTGCTAAAAATTAATTTTTTCATGGTATGAAGTAACAAAAATTTTATGTTATACGATATTTTTAATTTTAATTTTATATTTTTTCTCTGTGTACATTATTGTATTTACATGT